GACAAGTGAGTTAGGTAAAGTCTTAGCTTTAGTGAATCATTTAAAATATATAGTATACAAATGTTTAATAAAGCATAAGTATCTAGCCTGACCTAGGATTTATTAAAAAAAAAAAAACTATTACTTATAATATATACTTGCAGAAATATATTATTTAAGTTACTTGAGTATTTTAAATTTCTTAAACCTTTTAGATCTTTTAAGTTACCTAATTTGCAATAAATTATATTATATGATATATTTAATAAATTTAATAAATAATTTATAATATATTAATTAAGTATCAATAAGAATATTAAAAAATATTAAATAAATAGTTATAAATAAATAAATAAAAATAAACAAAAAAAATGAAAATCATAATTAAAAATAACTATTTAATAATATTAAAGATTATTTTTATTACAATATATAATATTAAATTGTATTAAAGCAATGTTTATAATTTTATTTAAATAACTTTTTAATAATATAATATTTTTTATTGATATTCTTAAAATATTTAAATAATAAAAAAAATTATTTGATTATCTTTTTTATAAAAATATCTGTAATCTTTATTACCTTTATTACCTTTAAATTTTTACAATATTTATAATCTTTTTTATTACTGCAAACTTTATTTACAGTATATCAATTGTATCAAAAGTAATAATAGTTTATTGAATAATATTTGATATTAAATTTTCAATTCTAATTATAATAATTGAATTGCTTTAAAAAAGCTGTCTTTTGTATTGCTTGAAATATTGATTAATATCAATATTAAAAATTAAATAATTGAAAAAAAATTAACTGATTTATTTAGAAAATAAAAAATTATATGCACAAGTCAAAAAATTAGCAAATATTAAATTTGAGATATAAATAAACTGTTTACAAAATTTCGAGTTTAGAAGTATTTAACTTTTCACGTGCGTAAATAGAAATTCCTGGAACTCATTACGTCAGTTTATCTATAAATGGCTAATTGCTTATAAAACAGATCTTTCAATTCATCTTTTGATTTTCTAAAATGCAAGTACCCATTCTTGGTCGCTTAAACTACCGCGATTACCAGGCTTTAGTAATCGGTCTCGCTATATTGTTTCTTGAGCGTTTGCTTCGGGTGATCACATACTGCTTGCCTTCTTCCATTCTCGAATTCTTTAGAGGCGAGAGTCTGAAGTAAGCTTAAGTTTTTTCATGAATTCGTATCATAGTTTCGTATACACTAACTAGCGAATTATTAGAATATTTTCCATGAGATATAAGGAGGCACGAACACCTCCTGCTGTGATAATACAAAATGCAAAGTCCTTTCGGGAAATGGCTAATTATTGGTAAGTTTTATGGCTTTTATTTTTATTCTCGAGTCAACATTTCTACAACATTTATGTATAAATTACGTTCAAAGGGGTTATGATATCGAAGAACATTTTGTCCAAACACAAGACAAATATATGCTAGGAATTCATCGTATACCCAAGGGAAAATATTCAATAATGGATAGCAAAGATCACGCGCACATCAAACGTATATTCGATAATTGTGGAGTATCGGAATTTCCTATTTACAACGATTTGTCAAAAGGAAGTAAGCCGGTGGTATTATTATATCATGGACTTATGATGTGCAGCGACGTGTGGATGTGTAATTTGGAAGAAGAAAGAAGATTGGCTTGTTTATTGGCGGAAGCCGGGTGTGTAGTTCATTTCATAAATACATATCGTCGTTTTCATATGTGATGTTATCCGATTCATATGGTAATCTTCTTATGTACTTATATGAATTAGCTATGATGTCTGGTTGGGCAACGCAAGAGGAAACAAGTATTCGATGAAACACTTAAAATACAAACCAAATTCAAGAAGGTTCTGGGAATATTCGATGGACGAATTTGCTCTTTATGACTTGCCGGATACAATCGACGTAGTTACAATGTACTTATACTCATTTGTAATATCACCGAATTTGTTACTAACTAGTGTTATGATCACGTGCGTTAGTATATTCGTAATGTAACTGGGGCGCCATCGTTGACATATATTGGATTTTCTCAAGGAACCGCACAATCCTTTGCAGCGCTTTCGATCAATCCTAAAATAAATGAAAAGGTAAATCTTTTTATCGCCTTAGCACCAGCTACGAGTCCAACAGGTAGTTAATCATTTATTGTTAGTTTGAAGAATTGTATATATTTTCTCTAAATGACATTGAAAAATTATATCCAATCCAGGTTTACAAAATCCCATCGTCGATGCATTTATTAAAGCATCTCCCAATATTGTTTATCTATTTTTTGGTCGCAAAGCTTTTTTGACGATGACAATTTTCTGGCAAAGAGTCTTGTCTCCTCCGATTTATACAAAAATTCTTGATAAATGTATGAGTTTCCTTTTTGGCTGGAATGGAAATAATATGACTGAAGAACAAAGGGCGGCGTCTTATAGTCACCTCTACGACTTTACGAGCGTCAAAAGTTTGGTGGTATGATATCCTTAAAGTTATCCAGGTATTATGGAATTGCTTGATTTTATTCATTTTATTATTTTATTTTTAATAGCATTGGTTTCAAATAATTCGCGCAAACAATTTTCAAATGTATGATGAACTACCGCCTTATTCATCATCTACCGCTTTGGGTCGTTGCTGCCACAAATTTCCCACGGAGCAAATTAAGACGCCTGTCGCTATATTTTACGGTGGAAGCGATAGTCTGGTGAATATTGAAGTATTACTTAAACAACTACCGGTTCCCGTTTTTAAAAAAGAGATAAAAAAATATGAACACTTAGGTACGAGCAATCTAACGAATTCACTAGCCTCTTGTGATATAACCGATCTCTCATATAAATTCCTATAATTTATTTTTAAAAGATTTTTTATGGGCCCATGATGTACACAAACAAGTTTTCCCTGAAATATTCGAGCTTTTGCGCAAATACAACGTATATCAAGAAAATCAGGCTAAATAAAAAAAATTAGAACTTCATTCTGTATTTATTAGTAGAATACAGGAAATATAGAGTTATTTCTAAATGGTTATTGATGATAGAAATTAGGTAAAATTAGAAATGAAAAGGCAGACCATTGAATAACAAGTCAACCCTCCTTCATACTTAATTAAGTATCTCTTATAAGATTCAAAGTTCTGACAACATATCCTTGACTGCATTGTAGTACTCTGCATGTACATATTTTTGCATTTCTTGTTTGGTAACCCATGCGAAATCAACAATTTCCTTATTATCAACCTCGACCTGACCCGCGAATATATGAGCTTTCATGAAAAACACCTAACGGAAATAGTGTCAATATTGTAAGAAAAAAAAAAAGAGTTGTTTAAAAACAAAAATAAAACCTTTGCTCCGCTAAATTTCATTTGATCTCGACTATAGCCCGGGGGATATTCATATTCGTAATATCCAAAGGGCCTCCGCCCAACAAACCAAATATCCATGTTACTCCCACACTCTTCTTTTAGTTCTCTAGTGGCTGTCTTATTTAAACTCCGAGATTTAGAGAAATGATTGCTATCAGATAATAAACATTAAGAAATTTTCATTACCTGAAGTAATGTTTCAGGTTTTTCTACTCCACCCTGAGGAAATTGCCACGAATGTTCGTCCCTGGGTTTCTTGACAATAAGATACAAGGTTCGTTGTAAAACTCTATCAAGTGATTTAACATCGTTTTTCATGTCTGCAAGAGTTACTCTACTAGCAATTTTGACACCTTCATCACTCGATTCATCATCAAATTTTTCACTTTTGAGGTCGCCTTTACTCGCCCCGAATGCTGATAAAGACTCTACTTTTTCTCTTTCTCTTTTTTCCCTCCACTTTTTTTCGGCCACACTGCCCTTTTTAAAATAAAAATCCACCGGAAATGGAGGCGCGTGTATCTGTTCTAAACGTTGTTGATATAAATAATATTCTCGTTCAAAGGGGTGAGGATCTCTAAGAATAACTGGTGATCTCGTTAAAACTATCCCGGCCACAATTCGGTACCCGTCATGTACTTCAATTTTGTCAAATTTGGGAAGTTTTATTTCATTTTTATCTAATTCCGTTGATGATAACTGGTCACCTGCGAGAAAGTAACAATTGAGTTTATATATGTCCGTTGCCCAAAATTCTGTTCATTAAGATAACTCCAGGATAGTTTAAATTTACTCTCATTACCGACTAAATCCGTTGACATTATTCTTACCCTTGTTTTCGATAATTTAAATAATGAAAACAAGCTTTTATTAAGGAAGGTGGCATTGTTAATTGTAGATGGATAAGCGACAGCGGCAAAGCGTGATGAAAAAGATGTTCGTGAAAACATGGTAAAATATTTGATCAGACATCTATTTCTCGTACTACTTAAAAAAATTTTTTCTTTCACTCGCAATATGCGTGTTTTATGAGATATTAATAATAGAACATCTTTAATGTTATATTGATTATTCACAAACTCATCTTTAGTCCATGAAGATAGTTTACACTAACAAAACTAAGTCTCAACTAGATACTCTAAGTCAGATTTAGGAACAATATTATATACTTTTATAATAGATTGATACTTGGCCTCTAATTTATTATAATCATATCAACTATTGATTATTTTGAATTGTTGTTTTAAATAATAATAATCAGAAACTATTATTGAATATATAAATATATTATCCATTCAAGCAGTATAATATACTGTATATTACAATTAAAATTTTTTATTAAGTTTAACAAGATTATTATAAATATAAAAGTTTCCAAGTTTTTAGATATAATATTTTATTCTATAATAAAATTTAAAACAATGTTCTCTTATTCTATATATGGCATTATTGCTAGTTTGTCACTTTTATATATTTTATTAAGCCATTAAAATGAATTAATAAAAGAAAAAAAGAATATTTGATATATCTAAATATATAATCAAAAGAAAAAAAATAAATAAAAGAAAAATTAAATTAATTTTTTTTTAAAAACTTATTTTTTAAGATCTTTTTTTAATAAAAAATACTTTATTTCTTCTTCTAACTATTTAAAAAACCCATTTATCTTAATTTAATCTTCTAATAATACTATTTATTAAACTTTGTTTTTATAATATATTAACTTAAGAAAAAAACTCTTTCTATTGATTCATTGATCATATATAAAAAAGATGTTTACAAGTTTTTACATTTCTTTGTTAATAAAGTCTTAATACTTTCTTTAAAACAATTTGAAGTATGATTTCAAGAATCACCTCTATCCTTTTCCTTTTGGTTACAAACCTTTTTACTCAAAAACTTGATTTCTAATAATCAAGAAAAGTCAAATAACATCTTTGATACCAATGGTAAAAAAGTTTTTAAAAAAAGAAGAACTGACTGTAAAGTATTTGAAGATCTATCTGACCTTTAAAGTAAGAGATAAAGAAAGTTTCAGAAATGTTTATCTCCAAAAAGTTCAAGTTTCTTAATAAAGACTTCCATAATAGCAAAAAATCAAGTGATAAATAATGTGGATTGCAAACTTTCATTTCTTACCTAAATTTCTCAAGTGATGACAAAGCTTTAATAGAAAAAAAGCTGAGGTCTAAATACTTTCCTTGAGATATTCCAATCCAGTATTTACTTAAATGAAAAATCAATTGGATTGACTTATTCAATATCATAGGTAGTGAAAAAGAAGATTTCTTTCAAGGTTCAAATGAAGCAAGAAGACTACTTTAATTAGGCAGATCCCTTTTAAGAAAAGGTTATTTTTATTTTTAGATTTTTTTAATAGATCTTGAATTGTTTCCTTTTTCTAATTATTTTTTCCCTTCTCTTTTTTTAACTTAACAATTCATTGATTTTTGGACAATGAATAGTAACAAACTGTTAACAATGATCCTGGTAAATAAAAATTATTACTAATCTATTAGGGGAATATAATATTGTTCCCAAAATCTAATTTAGAATACTTTTGTATAAAGACAAGTTAGTCACTTTACAAAAATCTGCAAAATATTATAGATTTATTTCAACTTTTCAATAAAGACAAGTTATTATGACATGATTGCAGGTTAAAAAAAAAATAATAATAATAATATATTAACTTAAGAACTTATTTATAAGATCTAATTACAATAAAATAAAGGTTATTATCAAAACTTTACTTGAAAAAAAACTCTTTTCACTGATTCTCTGATCACATACAAAAAAGATGTTTGCAAGAAATTTTTATACTTCTCTGTTAATAAAGTCTTAATACTTTCATTAAAACAACTTGAAGTATGACTTCAAGAGTCACAACTACCCTTTTTCTTT